CCCCGGTGGGTCAGCAGGACCTGGTGCGGTCTTGATCCTCTAACGTGTTTTTGATGGGTCTTTTGATGTTTTGTCAGGATTTGTTCGTTCCTGAGCTTCCCAACTGATTGGATATCATCCACAAACATGGTTAGGCCGTTATTAACTGAAAATAGGGTCAAATCATTCATTCTTATCCAAATAACCTTATTCGATGCCCTACAAGTACAAACGTAGGGCCTCCATTCTACAAGGGCGAATTATTATCAAGATGAGGAGGTGCTGCCGAGTTGAAGAGCAAGGAAGCACGAATTTCAGAGGAGGCTAGTTGATCTCGGCGAAGTTCTTCAGCATAAAGAGGGAGAGTTCGAGAGATCTGAAGCCCCGTCCCCCATTCCTTAAGATTAGACTTGGTCTTAATCTCGAGAAGAGTACTGATTTCGCTTGGTCGATATTAGTACTTTAGCGAATACTTTCTTGGTGAAGTAGGAGCTCTAATTAATCATTCTGTCAATCGGGTCTGGTCCGTAGACGGTCTTCGCATAAACCCCAGTGCAGGCAAAGATCCCACGCAAACAGTAATAGGCGATAAACGTTCTCTGCTGTGTGTTGTTTGAAGAAAATTGTAATTTTCTTTATTTTTTAATTGTGTAAGATCTTATAAAAAGATCGTCTTTTTTTGGACTTATTGTAACAACTTAGGAATAAGCCAAATGAGAATGCCACACTCCGAAGAGTATACGAATATAAACTGTTTCTCGCTCCTCTAACAGGTGCATAGGGATAAACCGCTCCCTGCATACTCCAACAGGTATACGAGTCTAAACTATTTCCTAATTTTAACGGAAAGTTCCTGGAAGAATATCATATGTGATATTCTTAAGGATAACCCGACCATTCAGCTGAATACAAAGTATTCCTCATTAGACCCAATTTCGTAAGGAAAGCTGGGGGTGGATAACCCATGTAACAGAAAGTTCCTGGAGAGTGTCATGCCTGGTATTCTTAAGGATAACCCGGTCACTATAAGTGGGGATAAATGAGAAACTCTCACTT